CCCCAATAGTAATCTCATCCCTACACCCTTGGTTTTGATGATGGAAAACTCACATTTTCAATGTGAAATTTGGTTTCGAAGGAAGTGCCTCACAAAAACTTAGTTCAAATTGCTGCTCTTTGAGTTCATCACAGTTCAAACAATAAATGGGAAAACTTAAAGCCTCTTTTCTTTAATTTACCATGAAAATGCAACTAGATTGAACTAAAAGTAGATTTAAAACAGAAAGCTTTTAGGACTATTGAAAAAAAAAAGTGTTATTATTCTCTGACCAGTGTTGAGAGGTTAATATGCAACTGGTAATGGTGCTGTACTTTTTGTACTTGTTGAAGTTCTTCCTGAAGATTTACTGAATTAAAAGAACAAAATGTGTGACTGCTTTAACAGAATAGTGAACCAATATATTGTTAGGAAATAAAAGTGTGAATTCAAGCACAACACTTGTAAGGCAATAGCTACTTGGTATGAAAGCTGTCAAAGTGGTTTGCCCTTTTTCTTACTCTGCAAGGTTGCAGTAATTATGGGTATTTTTCACCAAAAAGGATGCAGTGTTATTAGTCCTATTGGAGCAGAAGAATCACCCACAACACTTCTCAACGTTATGCAAATTACAAAGAGGACAGGGAGCAAAAGAGAGTCTTATCTGAATAAAAAGCTCTTATCATGTTGTTTCCGCCTCTCTAAATCATTGCTGTATCCCCAAGGTCAACAGCCAAATAAATGTCTTGATGGGGAACATTTTCCAGCCTTTTTCATGAATCTTCTCTAATTATGCTCTTTTTACCTCTGTCAAGTGACTTGCTAACCTTTCCCCTCAAATATTTACATATTTTTATGTTTTTGGATTCAGCTGTATTTGATCATTTGATGCAATTTTTACAGTTCACAATTTTTAAACATAATGCAAGCTGCCCCAAACTATATACTCAGACACTGATTTGAACAAGAGTTTTGTCTAATTCCACATTATGACATTTATTCTTGTTTGAGGATTACAACATGAAATTATAACAATTCTTGAGAATTTACTTTCACATTTAGAAAATCTAGGCGGATATAAAACTGAAAAAGGATTTATTGTATCCAATGTGTTTATTTTATCCTTCTGAAACTGAACAATCCATCCATCCGTCCATCCATCCATCCATCCATCCATCCATCCATCCATCCATCCATCCATCCATCCATCCATCNCATCCATCCATCCATCCATCCATCCATCCATCCATCCATCCATCCATCCATCCATCCATCCATCCATCCATCCATCCATCCATCCATCCATCCAACCAACCACTATCCTTACCTGTTTTTACATGTAGAGGTGTTGGGGAGCTACCGGTAGTCATTGTGAGAGAGGTTGAGGGCAGCGGACAGGTCATAAGTGCACAATATTTCAATACTTTTCTTGATTATTTGTATTATGACAAGCAAGGGCATGGGAATGAGTTTACTAACTAATAATACTGGAAACCTGAATAAGTCATAAATTTTCTGTGCAAAAATGTATCGTAAATTAACTACACTGCAAACCTTTCAAAAAATGCATTGTAATCTTTTATCCATCCATCCATCTTCTGTACGTGCTACTTCCTTTCAAGGTTGCATGGGTCACTGGTGCCCATATCCAGCAGTCACAGTGCGAGGGGAAGGATACACTGTCAGAAAAAAAAGTAMTCGATTGTACCTTAAAGGGTACATTGACTTGTCACTGGGGTGGTACCCTCAAAGGTACTGCTAATGTACCCTCAACRGTGGGTACTTATTCGTACCCTTGTAGTTTGTACCTTATAAAGCTCAGAATTGTACCTTTAGTGACAATTTTGTACCCTCTTAAACAGTAACACAAAAAAAAGGGGGGGGGGGCTTTTGACTTTTTTTTTTTACTTTTATTTTACTTTTTTCTTTGACTTTTATAGTGTAAGCCACCACACATAATCACAGGTAACTTAAAAAAATAAACTTTATTTTCCATTTTCACATTTCATTAAAAACTTATAAACAATGTCGAACTGTGACATACAAAATGTCATCAGCAGAGTAAGTGTCATTTGGCTGAAAGTCCATTTCATCTCCTGCTTTCAGCAAAGTCYATTCTAAATCAACTTTGAGTCTGTATGCATGCAAGTGGCAGTCGTACCATTGAGGGATCAGCATTTTCCCACAGAGAATCCATAARGTGTCAATGTTGAAGATGTATTTTATTTGCCAAAATAGTGGCACTGCTTCTGAATGCAGAACATCTACAATGAATACATCTCTGATGGCATACTTAACACAGTTGACTCTGACTTCAGACACACGTTGGAAAACTTTGTTTGTAAAATCAACATTACAGAGGCTGTGATTAGCCATCAGGGCATTCTGCAGTTCAACAGGCAAAGATAAGAATGGAGTTGCTACACTTTTTCCAGGCACACTTTCGAATTCATCCAGACAACTTTGTTGGGAAAATTCCCAACACTGTCTAAGTTGGTGTCTGTTGCTCAGAGTTTTAGCAATGTTTATAAAGTTTCTAMAGTTATGAGCCACAGTTTTAAAATATTGATGTTTTCCCTCAAATCTCATGCACCACAATGAACGCAGAGGTCCAAACATTTCCATCAGTCTTGCATAATGAATCAAATAATGACACTTAGGAGTAATAACATCTCCAAACACCTCTTTCATTTSTGTCAGAAACTCTTGAACTAGTAAATCTAACATTAAAAGATTATCTCTTCTCACCTTTGGTGCCATGACAATCTCCGTAATCTCACGGCATAACAGAAAAACATGCCAATATTTACAATTGGGCGGAACTTTTTGTGCCATCACAAAAGGCAACAACCTAAAAAGGCACCATTTCTGAGAAGCMGATCCAGTGATACCAACTTTCTGTAGTCTCTCTGGTAAAAGCACTGGTTTATTAGCTCTGTTGTTTTGACCAATGCATATACTGTATTTTGGAGTTCTTCTTTTATCTCTTTTATTGTTGTGTTTTTCTGTTTGAGCTTTGCAAATGACTAGTTTCATAACAAGTGGAATTACACCCTCCAACAGGTCGTGCATTATGTCAGGTGGTAAAGCTTTTGTTACATCAAAATAATGTAACTTGTCAAAAGGAGAGGAACTATGTATAAACACCATAAGTTGATTTATCATCAGGATTTTGTTGAATGCATTCAAGATGGCATTGATGAACCTCAGATGTTCTTAAAACAAAGCTGTCTTCCTTGAACAAGTGCTTAATATCTTTATGAGTAGCCATACAATAGCGACAAATTCTACCTGAGTTAAAAGACATTGAAAATCCACCAATCATATGAGCCGACAAGTTATCACCAGATAAAGTTGCAACAGCAGCCCGAATTGTGTGCTCCGTGTCATCAATTGTTAATGTAAAGCCAACAGTAGCGAGTTTTTCAAGATCATCTAGCAAAAGTTTTAATATGACATTCAAGCCACACTTTTTAACAAAGGAGTATTGTACCAATAATGCTAAATGAATGTGTCTCTGCTGAGATCTATACCTTTTGTCCAAATTGCCTATGCTGTAATAAAATGCACATAGCTTGTGTTTGTTTCGTTTCGACCCCAAAGGATTTACTACTTCAATTCTTCCATCCATCCATCCATTTTCTGTACACACTTCTTCCTTTCAGGGTTGCGTGGGTCACTGGTGCCCATATCCAGCAGTCACAGCGCGAGGGGCGGAGTACACCCTGGACAAGTCGCAAGTCCATCACAGGGCCACACATAGAGACAAAGGAGACAAACAACCATTCACTCTCTCACTCACAGGGACAATTTATAGTTATCAATTAACCTAACAGTCATGTTTTTGGTCTGTGGAAGGAAGCCAGAGTACACGGAGAGAACATGCAAACTCTACCCAGAAAGGTCCCCAGGCCGGGATTTGAACCGGTGACCTCCTTGCTGAGAGGCATCAGCTCTACCAACTGAGCCACTGTGCCGCCTACTTCAAATTCATCTTCATAAAAGTGCAGGCGCAGTGCATTTGGATAAGCTTTAAAAAAAGGTGCTGTTTGAAAATGCTGCCATCACAATAGTCTGTTAGAAACTCATCTGTCTCTGGATTACTCTCAGAAAATATTTTATCCTGAAGGTCATCATGTGAACAATAATTTTTCAGCACTTTATCAATGGGTACATATGAAAATGAACCAACAGTCTGTCCTTCTGAGTTTCTTAATTTACAGCGGATAGGCTCAATCATATCAAGCTTGGATTTGCAATGGTTTTTCATCAAATATGGAGATCGAATAGCCTTTGTTGCTTCAATAAAAGAAATCATTAGAATGTATGACAGTTTCTAGTTCTGGACTCTTTGAGATATCAAAGCCATTTTTTGCATGTGATAAGCAATAAAAGCATCGTAATTCTCCTTGAAAAAAAAAAACACTAAAAAATTAACATCATCAACAATCTCCTCGAACAGAAACTGGAAGATGATTTTTTCTCCCTGCATTTCAGAATGAAGTGAAATAAATTGTCCTTGAAGCTAGTTAACAGCTCACCATAAGAGGGAGGACTTTCAATAACATTTCCTGTCAAAGGCTCATCCAAATTATCAGTGACAACCTCCCTTTCACTTTCACCACAATCATTGTCAGACCCTAAAATTTTGTCTCTGTGTTTTCGGTACACATGTCGTCTAAAAGACTCATATTTTGTAAATGTGGACTGGCAATCATCAAGTCCACATGTAATTTTGAAGTTGGCTTCATGTGCATGGATAAGTCCTATGTGCTGAATCAGCTTCATCAAGGTGAAAGCTCTCCTCGAGCATTTGGGGCACCGGTAGGGATGAGGCATAGTGTCAATAGAGGAGATTTATTTTCCTTGTGACTGTTAATGGTAGAGGCCGGTCCCAAACCTCAACTATTCTTGCAATGTACCTTTGGAGGAACATCAGTGTTCTTCAGGTGTCTTGGGTATGCCAGATTGAAGAYGAAGTATGTGCAAAAGGCTGAGATGATCCCTTCATCAACTGTTTGGGTGCGACACACCTCAACACCGTCTGCCTTCACAATGCTTGGAGCTCTCCCGGTGAACGACACTTTTCAATCTTGACCAGTCAACTGAATTGTTGGGTATGGGGATTGAGATTCACACTGTATGAAGTCAAAAAGAACAAAAAGAAAAAACAAAACAAAAAACACAGCAGCAAATTAACTCAACAGCCTTACAGCAGGGAATAAAATKTAGTGTAAATTAAATCAAATCATGAGTATTCTAACCCAATGTAATTTCAGCATCCTTTCAGATAGATTTGTTGAACAACAGATTTGCAAGTTGCAAATCATACCTCTCCAAGCAAGATAAAAAGGTCCATCTTCTCCCTGAAGATGTGCGGTAGAAAAAATGTAGGGGGAATATTGTTAATTATTGAAAAGTTGCTAAATTATAAGTTTCTCATACCTCATTAGCATAGTAAAGGGGCACCACCTGTACATAACAGAAAATTAATCGTGTATTTTTACTCAATCTCACATACTGAAGAACGGAATTCTTTCCAGTTTGGACGGTGAAAATCCAATAAAAGACGCACACGAGCATAAGGAATTTCACAATATACCCTGTATTAACGATTCAGAGGTAACAATACAGACAGGTTATTTGGGCAGACAGAAACATAATTATTATCATGACCTCTGCGTCTTCAATAATAACGTGACTATCATCACCCGATAATTACCTTTCGCATTATTATTCACTGAACCGCTTGTTCTAAACTTTTTCTACACTAGTAAAATAAGTGAAAACTTCCAGATTAATAAAAGAAAGTGTTAATCCATTTATCAAGAAAGGACGTGAATTATAAAGGAATGAACTTGCCAGATCTTCATTCAATGCAATCATCGTTACCAAACACTCTTCCTTCACCACTTCAGCTGAGCACACTACCAAAGTGTAGAAAGCTGATCTTTCCTACAAATTTGATGCGAACCGTCAGTCCTGTCCCAGGGTACCGGAAGGTCAGAGCGAGGTTGGATCACCGGTGCCACCCGATCTCAGAGTGGTCCCGCGCGGGTACAGTTCGGACATACCGAAAATGCTTCGTCAGCTCCAGCTGGAAAATGAGGAGGTCGGCTCGGGTCCGTGTTGATTGAACAGAAGTTCTGGTCAGTTCGGTTCCCAAATAAATCCAGTCCCAGCACTTTAAAAGTGAACTAAAAAATTAAAATAAAAATAAATAAAATGTCCCCGAAGGGAGTAGAAACCTGGAAACTCCTGTATCCTCTCGCTGCTGGTTCTCTCTCCTCTTCTTTACAACTCAAACTAAAACTAACACAATGTTATCTCTTGTCCTGACTGTACAAACTTCGGATTGGCTGAGACAGTCACATGATCTATTTTTTTCTTTTCATGGTTCTTTACTACTAAACTGGTTAAACACACAGAGTGATAGATTACTTGTGAAGTAATTACCGGTAAATCAAGCATTATCACAGTGATTGAATCATGATTAAAAAATACAATGCCTCTTTCTTCTTTTTTTCTTTTATCAGATGACAAACAACAGAAAGACATTTGTTCATGATGTAATTATGAAACCAGCCTTTTGGTGGTGCTCTAAAACCATAAATGAGATGGTATGCAAACGTGTCTTTTGAAGCTTCCTTGGGTGGCAATATCTCAGCAGGAGATCTGGTCTCAAAGGGTTTATAGATGGCAAACCCACTTTGGGGGAGACTTTCTGTCTGGCAACTGGTGAGTCCTTTTGTGATAAACGTTTATTTTTGAGTACTTGAAAGAGGTCTCACAACAGGGCTTAATCAATTGGAGGTTGCAATGTCCTGTTTATTTTAACACCTGTAGATAGTAAACAAAAAGGGTTTGAAGGTAATGAAAGAAGTCATTATTCTCTGTACACATGGGGGATGAGTAATTGTTGACTCAAGTTCTGATGTGGGACTGTTCTTTAAGTTCCTGCTTCAAAAATAAGGGCAGCTCTCATGTCAATATCTGTGAGATAAAAGATGATACTTAATCAGCATTTTATTTCTTCATATTTTGATAAAGCATTTTATATTTGTTAGCAAAAAGCTGAAAATAGTAATTGGTCTTACGCTGAAATTAATTTTGCTTTATTTATCACTAAATACATAACCAACAACATACACACAAAATTTACACAGGTCCTTCTAAAAAAATAGCATATTGTTCATTATTTTCTGTAATGTACTGATGAACATTAAACTTTCATATATTTTAGATTTATTGCACACCAACTGAAGTACAGTGGTGCCTTGAGTTACAAGTTTAATTCGTTCTGAGATGGAGCTCTTAACTCAAATTACTTGTATGCCAAATCAGTGTTCCCCATAGAAATAAAATGAAATGCCCTTGATCTGTTCTGGACTCCACAAAAACACTACTATTTTTGTTACATGTTTTTAAATCAGTAAAATCATTATGAATAACAAAAATTGAATAAAAATACATAACAGAATATATTTTCTGCAATGAACTACAGCAGTTTTATTAAGTAAGTACACTGTAAAAGGTACAGCTTCAATATGGTGCAGACTGTGGAAGTGCTGCGCTCGTACTGCTTTGCTAAGTCGACTACACGCACACCTTTCTCGCGTTTTTCATTAATTTCTTTCTTCAGTTCAATGCACATCATCCGCTTCTTTTTCTCGGCGCCATCCTTTGCTCTCACTTTTTTTGGTCCCATAGTTGGCTAAAGCTGGTTCGTGAAGTTTTATAAAAATAACTGCGAGTGGAACACAAATGCTTTAACCGCAAGCTAACTGTTCAAAGCTAACTGAGACGGTGAACACCTGTTGCGGTGTTCACACCTGCGTTTGTGGTGCCATCTAGCGGTGGGGCATGTGAAGTTCACTCGTAACCCAAATTTTAGCTCTAAACTCAAAGATAAAATATATCTGAGAGACTGCTTGTATCTCAAAAGACTTGTTAGTTAGGACACTCTTAAGTCAAGGTACCACTGTAGTTCAAACCTTTTATTGTTTTAATATTGATGATTTAGGCAAAAAAGTAAAGAAAAACCTATCTCAAAAAATTAGCATATCATGAATGTAAACGAGTTATTAACCTAATCATCTGAATCAACGAATTAATTCTAAACACCTGCAAAAGCTTCTTGAGGCTTTTAAAAACTTCCAGCCTGGTTCATTACTCAAAACCGCAATCATGGGTAAGACTGCAGAAGGCCATCATTGACACCCTCAAGCAAGAGGGGAAGACACAGAAAGACATTCCTGAACCATGAGGCTAAAACAACAGTATGTGCGCACGGGAGATGTGGAGCAGAGCACGGGAGCAGAGCGCAGTATTAGGAGAGATGGAGACTGTCGGCGGGCAACTGTTATGGTTGATACTGCTGGATTCTTTTATGGAACATGATGGAGATTTTTTGTTTCAGCGGGCGACGGCTCCCCCTCCCCCTCGAACGATTGGTTGCACCAGTGTGACCACACATTTTTTTAGTCGCACTATTAGGAAATCAGGTCGTATTTGCAACCAAATTGGTCGCACTCTAGAGCCCTGTTTTGAGATAGGGATTYTTGATTTTTCTTTACTTTTTTGCCAAAATCATCAATATTAAAACAATAAAAGGCTTGAACTACTTCAGTYGGTGTGCAATGAATCTAAAATATATGAAAGTTTAATGTTTATCAGTACATTGCAGAAAATAATGAACTTTATCACAATATGCTAATTTTTTTTAGAAGGACCTGTAAGAGAAATAAAAATTTTAAATGTGAGCCTGAAAACACAGCAGAATGGACAACAACATATAATGTACCTGATACTTCTTCAGTGAGAGCTTCCTTTCTTGCCTCCTGGTAAAGCTGGTACAGAGGTGACTTCCCCTGGGTCAGATGAAGAACTTTTGGCACGATACAGGCAAAACCTTCACTGAATCGTTGTTGCATGCTTCCTACTGCAGGATGAATACGCTGCACTTCATCGCACAGCTGCAAAAGAACAAATATTGTGCTGTTAGCAGTTTGATTGAATACCACTTGTCCAAACTTTGTTAAAATATTAACCTTTGATACATTTACTTTTTTAAATTAAATTAAATTTGTTTTGAAAAGCATATGTACACCTGAAAAAGCCACACACAGATGAACACAAGTAGCTAGAGAAGCCCCTGCAAAGCTTCTTTTACTGCTTACTCTTTTCCATACCACGAAATAGACAGAAATAATGTAAATTCAGATTCAGGACTTTTTTAGGACAGTTAGATTTATTACATCATGTTCTTTCTGACTAATACAGATTTAGGACTTAATAGTCAGAAAGAACAAGATGTAATAAATCTAACTTTGTTGTTATAATAATAATAAAAACAACAACAATGAATTAGTCTTACAAAGCACTTTTCTAGACACTAAGGCTAACGTTCACACTGCAGGCAAATCCGACCCAAATCCGATTTTTTTGACCCATCTGACTCATATCCGATTTTTTTATGACAGTCTGAACTCGACAAATCCGATTTTTTCAAATCCGACCCAGGCCGTTTCAGTATGTGGTTTTAAATCGGATATATATCTGATGTTTTCAAAGTGACTGCAGTGTGAACGTTCATGTCACATTCATCTGACTTTTTCATCAGTGAGGAGGGGGTGAAGGACCGATAAAACACTAACCTCAAGTCTCGCTGTTTATAAATCTGTAGCTCCATGTGTTTACAGCTCCAAAACACAAGTCCAGTTGCTTCATCTTTTTACTTTTCATTTTCCACGTTGATAGTATGATAATAGTGGTCCAGCCTGGGTCGTGGAGAGTTTCGATCCTAAAGTTCGATACTCGGTCGATACTTTTTCAGCTCGTAGTTTCGTTCAAAAAAAAAGCTTCACTGGAGCATCCCGGTCAGAGGCAGGTTCAGATATAAACACTGAACTAAAGAATCATGTCAGATAATTATTTAATCAGCTCTGATTAAACAACAACTTCHGATTCGATGCGCAAAAAATAGCATCCATGCTAGCTCTGTAAACAAACAAGTCGGCTGATGAGACGTCACGTCTTTTACTGCGCATACGTGTCACATCAGTGCTGTGTTGCGTTCACACACGGGTCTGATACAGGCCACCTTTAAAATGTAATGTGAACGTTCACACAAAAAGATCGGATTTTTTCAAAAAATCGGAACTGAGCATTAAGACCTGCAGTGTGAACGTAGCCTAAAAGACTCTTTACAATTTTCAAGCATTATTCATTCACACATTGATGGTGGTAAGCTACAATTTAGGCACAGCTGCTCTGGGGCACACTGACAGAGGTGAGGCCAACATGCACCAGCGCCACCAGACCCTCTGACCACCAGCAGGCAAAAGGTGGGTGAAGTGTCTTGCCCAAGCACACAACAATTGAAATGGATGGAAAGGGGGATCGAACAAGAACCCACAGGACAACTCCCCTAAGCACTCAGACACAGTTGTTACACATAGCGCATCACATTTGTCTAGATTATGTACTCCATACCAGGATGAAAAAATAATTTTACATTAATTTTACACCTGTAAATGTCCTTTAAAAAGGGTACTTCTCAAGCGTGTCTGCCAAAGTCATCCCATCTGCAATCTCCTTTCGCCGCCATGCAAAGGTCTGTTGCATACGGTCTTTGACAATTTTTGTGTCTGGTTGCACCTTCTGGTACTGGCTGTGCAAGACCTTCACATGTGCCTCAATGGAAAACGGATCCTCACCAAGGACATTAGGAACCTAAACAATGAGAATGAAAAGGAATAATGTCCACAAATGCAAATTTGATTTAACTACATCTCTAGCACTTAGACCTGTAATATTTACGATGGGGAATGAATGCCCTTTATACTATTTAAAGATCTGACCACTGACTGCTTTAACTGACCACATAATTATAAAACAAATCAAGCAGACAAGCTTGTTCAGGACAAGCATGGAAAACTCACCACTCTTATGCCAATACGATATCCTGCCCTTGTGGAATCCCTAATGCTAAGGACACTAAATACAGTATATTGCTGTAMGGTTTCACTTACATAACCATTTCCCTCATAATCCCTGAGAAAGGGGTACTTCACAATCAACATCTTTACAGCCTGGGCATATTCTGCATTTGTGGGATACCTACAACATGCACAAAATGAAACAATGGAGAGTTAAGTGTTAACATTTGTGTTATTGTAAAAAAAAATCAGTCAACACAATCCTAATATTAAGAAATATAGTTAATTTTGGGGAAAAACTTACATTGTGTGCTGTGCAACAGTTTCATGAAGGCAGTGTCCGTTTAATCCTTATATCAGGGTCCTACTGTGGCGCACCGAACGATCCATTCACACCAGTGCAGCTGGATTCTTTTTATTTTTTTTAAGAAATCAGGTCGCCTTTGCGACCAAACTGGTCACACTCTAGAGCCCTGCTAACTGTTGTTTTGACAGACAATCAGGTACAAGCTTAGGTACGCAAGGGAGCTTAATGACATCCCATCTGATGCGCTTTTTCCTTTTTTGACAGCGCAAGCGCACCTGCGCACCTCTTCTGCACACCTCTGTATATATCAGTAATTTAAAACTTGCCTGAGCTTCCTCCACCTTTCATTGCTTCAAATGTCTCACTACTCTATATACTGCCATGATTCTTCTGATAAGATATCATTGCAC